CCATTTGCGGACTATTCTGTAGGTGATTTCGTTTTTAGTTTAAATTTACTTTGGTGCAGAAACTGAACTTGTTCAGGTTTGCAGTAAGTAGATGTTTAATCATTACAAGATATGTGGTAGAGAGTTACAGTCACCCTGCTTTCTTTTTGATAATACAGCCATTAAATTTGCATTAACAAAAACCTATTAAACAATTTCTCTGTGATCTAAGTGTGGAGAGAGAAATAACAATACCAGAAGAGCAAACCAAATAACAGTATACCAAGCTGTGATGGAATCAGGGCTGTCACAGCTGTATGGCCATGAGTGTGGACTCTCAGCTTCCCCATTTTTAAGGACAGACTCTCAGGACACAACCTGTTCAATGGTGAGAAGAGAAAGCTTAGCAGAATTTTAACTCAGGCAATATGAAGTGTCTCTGCTGGCCATGTGTTACAAAACATGAGCAGATACCTCGCTCCTCTACTTGGCAGTAGCTGCTACTGAGCTGTGCCTCTCAGCTTTGCTCATGCATCACTGTTAAATATACCTGATAAAAATCTTGCTACTGCAAGAAACCCGAGCTGTGTGTTTCTTTCTCTGCACAAATGTGCCAAATGCCTGCTGAGACAGAAGGTCTGCATTAGGACAGAGGCATTTGCACGTGTGAGATCCACACTGTGCTGTCACAACCATCCCATGTTCATCTCCTGTGCCCTGTCTGGGCACCTCACAGAGCCAAAAGGGACAAAATGCTGAAGCCTGGGTTCTGCAGGCAGCTCCAGAGACTGCCTTCAAGTGGTGCTGATGGGGAAGCTGTACCTCCTCTGGCCACTCCATTAAGCTTGTCCAAATACTCACAGGATTGGGGTTTATTTATTCCATTAGAAATAAACACATCTAAAGAATAAAGCCTGCATTGCATATTTGATTTTTCTTCTATATATTGAAAGTGGAGAGGAAAAGAAGTTATAAATGCTTAGGTTACACTCAAGAAAACGCATAACTATAAAATCAGCATTTCATAAGCTACCCAGGAAAATATGAGAAAATGCAATATTAATTTAAACCAGCAATATTTCACATTGACTACAAGCCAAACTAACAGCAAAGTTTATCCATAATTTAATGACAAAGTTGCAATATTTTTCACTGTGATAGATTACTGTAACTGAGCAGATTTATGTACATTGCTGAGAGCCAACACAAAAACATTTGGAAGATATTCTCTGAATATTAAGAAAACAATCTGAATCCTTCCCTGTGAACCTTCAGTAATAGCTGCAAACACAGTGTTAACATGCTATTTATTTGGTAGTTTTTCTACTAGTTATCAAGTATCATCTCAGCTCCCAGCAGAAGGAAGGGTGACAAATAACCCAAGTCACTGATTTGCTATTTAATACAAAAATGACCAGATGTGCTCTGTTCTAGACCAAACCTCATGGCAGATCTGGGCTGTTCTCTACAACAGCAGCCAAGACAGCAGCCCTGAGTTCAACAGCCCCTTCCTTACTGCAGGAATTGTCCCAGAGGATCTGCTCTCTCATCCATGCCACCTGTGCCATGATCTGCTCTACAGTTTATAGACACTTGGACTGAGTGCACTGAGAAGTGCTCAGAAGATGAAATTCCACAATTCGTGTCTTGCTTTTCATCTCTCATGAGTCTCAACAAACCCCATGCCCAAATCTCATTTTGGAAGTTGTTGAAACCTACAAAGTTTCCAGCTACAATGGGATTTCCAGCTTCAAAAGGGAAAAAAAATAAAAATCAAAACCCCAACAAGCCATAATTTAAGCTCCTTTCCTGCTCACATGTCTTCTTCATATGTTAGTTCCCAGGCCTGCAGTGTTACACCAGTCCTTTCTCCCTCCTATCAGGAATCAAATGCCATTGGCTTTCACAAAAAAAAGACACCTTCAGAAAACACACCAGAAGCATCCAGGATGAAAAAAACAAACCAGTAGAAGTGCTTGGCATTAAAAAAGTAGTACCTCCAGACCAGGGAGAAAGAACTCTCGAGATTTTGGCAGCACCTGGATACATTTTTTTAAGCCTGTAAAATTTTGTTTAGTGGTCCTTGAAATTGTGACTCTTTCTAAAATGCTTCTGTCAACTGTAACTGCTTGGATGGATCTCTGTTAACCAATCCTGAAATAGCATTCTGTTTTGACTTAAGAACAGGGGGGTCCATTGGCATTTCAAGCTGTTCACACTCCTATTTCATTATCTGCTCCTCAGCCATCAAAGTTTCTGGTGAAGAAGGGTAGTCCAAAGATCAGACTGCAGTCCAAAGCTCTGACAACAGGCTAGACAGTAATCAAACCAAATTTCTTGTTCTGGACCACTGGTGGCATCTTCCTAAGTGAAAAAGGGTGCAGTCAGGTCTGGATAAGAGGGAGCTAAACTAGATATATCCCCCACAGCTGCAGAAAAGGAGTGTACAAGAGGAGTGAGTTTCCCTTGACTTAATTTCAGCCTGTAATTCCCATGAAACAGCTATCTTCTTGTGCTGGGATTACTCTTCCTCCTGGTGAAACAAGGATGATATTTTTAAATATACCAAAATGTTATTTTCAAAAGTTAATTAAGCTGTGAAACACTACATGAAACTCATCAAGAGGCAGAAAGGAGAAATCTAAGACACTTGGCTGTGATGGATGGGCAAGTGTTCTCCAGATTTTCTGCTGGATCAGGCTGAATTCAGACTGACAGCACATAGACCACCAGGGACCCCAGCACTGCTTCCCTTCTCTCAAATTTGCATAAAATGGAAAGGCAGAAAAGGAACCTCCCCCATCCTTCAGCCACATGATGGACTTCACTCACTGATCTCAATACCAGTGCCAGGGTAACATTTTTTGATCAGCACAGATGGCAAAACCATGGAGAAAATACACTATGTCAGCCACTGCAACCAAAACCACATTGCTTATGACAAAGCAAGGTGGCACTTGATCAACAGGATGAAAGACTAAATCTTTCAAAATCCATTTTGGGCAGGTAAAAAACACCCGAAACATCATCAGCTTTATGAAACACTGTGAGTACACAGAAAGCAAACAGCAACTGGAGCACTCCTGGGCCAGTCTTGGGTCTCAACCCTCTGAAACCTTTTCCTGTGTCCATGATTAGTGTTTATTGAATTCTTCACCAATAGGAGACTTCAGCACAAGCTGACTGCACAACCACTGGGATTTTAATGCCCAATAAATTATCCGCTGTTTTGGAAAAGCCAGTTATCCTATTTAATTTGACAGCCCCATGCAGGGTGAATTCCATAGACACAAAACAAATGTCAGGCCTCGAGACTAACACACATTTCCCCACATGCAAAATACACATCAGTTGCTCTCTTAGGAGGATGGAAAAAACGAATCCCTCTAAATTATGCAAACCAAGCAGTGAGAACAGGCTTAAAGCCTTTGCTTTTAAGAAGTAAAGCATAAACCTAACTACTGCTTTATATCTGCCTTCTATTTTTTTTTTTTTGCCTTTCCATGATCTGCAATGCAACTATTTTGAGATCTGCTCCTGAGTGCCTCCAACAGGCACTTCTTAGGGGGAATTCTGCTCTCATTTCTCCTCAGTACTGCCACCCTGTCCCTTAAACATTTATCTTGCTCCTGTAGAAAGACTTGGACGATGGAAGATCTTTTCCAATCCAACTTTTATTTAATTTTGCATGAAGGAAGACAGTGAGGGGAGAGCTTTTTCTTTTACTCATCTGGTATCGCATTCAATCTGAGTTGGAACAGAAACAGAGGAACATCCACTGCACTCTAAGTGCTTTCCAGCTCTGGTTCACATCTGTTACTAATGCATCTTTATATTACTGGATAGTTTAATAAACAAGGAAGTAAGAGCTGTCGGTCCTATCGTTTCAGAACTTGATCCCTGGCTCTGACATGAACCTCTTGCAGAGGCTGATGCATTTGCACGATTCGTTCTGCCCGTTTGCAGATTGAAATCACAACACTTTCTTTTGCCAAGTGCAGAAGTCGGGAGGAAAAGCTCCGAGTAGAAGGTTGATGCTACTGGAGAGCAGTCTGATGGGGCAGCAGCCCTGCTGTCACCTCGCTGTCACACTTTGTGTGGGGACGGGAGAGACTGGCTCTGCACAGGGCGGTACAGCTGAGCAGCACTGAGGCAGCGAGATTGGGAAGGAGAGCGAGCACGAGATGTTAAAATAAACTGCGGGGCAGCCCGCTAGCAAGCGCTTACCCAGAGCCCATACAAGCAGACAGCAGCTGCCCCGCATAATTAAAGGCTGCGGCAGCGCCGGATTACAGGGCTGCATCCCTTCCTCCGGGCACGGGTTTCGCTCCGGGACGGAGCGCTCCGTGTCCTTTCCTGCCGCTCCGCATCCCGCTCCTCTCGCAGCGGCCCGCAGGTGGCGCGGCAGCTCCGCGGCCGGGCCGGGGGGCGGAGGGGCGGGCGGACGGAGCGGGGCCGCTCGCTCCGCGGGTGCGGTGGCCGCGGAGCCCCCCGCGCACCTGCCCGGAGCGTTTGGGAGCAGCGGAGGCTGGGAGTCAATACCTGCCCGCACGGAATTGCGAAGCGGAGCTGCGGGAGCGGGGCAGCAGCGCTGCTGGGAGCTTTCGCGGGAGGCAAGAGCCGGTGTGCCAGTGCCTGAGTATCCCATTTTCTGATTTCCAACGTCCTGAAACATTTCCTGCCTCTTAACTGTCCGTGCGGACTGAGAGTGGTCACATACTCTCAAGCAAAAGGAAGCAGGAGCATTTAGACAGCAGAGTTCAATCGGGATGTGATTTTTCTCGATGTAAGGTGTCTTTACTTTTTCTTTTTACAAGCGTTTTTGTATAGGGAAAAGTCTTCGGCTTTTTTTTTTTTTTTCCCTGCCAAATAACACGCTAGAAATGCATTTTGCTGTAAAGCGAGGAGTGCTGACATGGGAAGCATCCTACGCCGCTGTTAGAATTCATGGCTAAAGCGGGTACTTCAGCTCAGCAGCAAACCCGTCACTGGTTGCATTCACACGTGAAGTTCTACCCTGCTTTAAGGGGAGTATTTGATGCGTTAGTCAGGGCTGAGGATCACCACCATCACGATTGCCATGTTTTCACCGAAGATCTTTAAGCATTCTACAATGACAGGTTTGGTTACAGATTTCACTGTCCAGGTTAGCAAAATCAAGGTCATGCACCAAAACTGTGAGCATAGATAATTGCCATGCTCAAAGTGCCGTAGCAGAAACTCTGGCATCCTTCTGCTGACCCCGTGCTTTGCTGAATGTTTATGTATGAGCCGAGGCAGCTTAATAAGGAGCGCTAGAGAACTTTCTGGGTATGGGTTTGTTTAGGGCAGTGAGCAAGGTACAAGTGCTTAGAGGGTTTTAGGCAACTGCTGCTGAGTAATTGAAACCTTTTTGGAGCTGGAGGGCTCAAGGAAAGAGTAGCTATCTGCAGGCAGTGCTAGTGAGAGCTCACAGCTATTAAATATATTCTACAAAAAATAATTCCCTGCATATGATTCGAACACAGTAAATATATGCAATCTCAGCTGAAAGAGAAAGGAAGAAATAAATAATTAGGAGCCTTGAAAGGCAGGTGGTTGGGGTTGTTAAGTACCTTTTGCAGTCTTAACAGTGCCAGTGTGAAACCAAGCAATAGCCAGAAAGCTGAAGGTAGGTTCTGCACAAAGAATGCCAAATGTGTCAGTGGTGTTACTGCAATGCTTAAAGCAGGAACATAGCACCAATTAGCATGATTATTTAAAAAGGAGAGAAAAAAGGAGGGGGTGGGCAGGGGACGGGGAGAGCCTGGCTCCTTGCAGTTCCATCCTTGTGGTGTTCTTCCCCAGGCTCTGCATTGACGTCACAATGACACGGTGAAGCTGAAGGCAGGAGCTGGGAACACTTCTTCTGCTGCACTTTTGATAATTGGGGGAGTTTGCCACCACTGTGTTCCTTCCAGCATGGCCAAGAGTGCAGAAGTGAAGCTGGCGATCTTCGGTCGAGCCGGCGTGGGCAAGTCAGGTACGTTTGACTTATGATTTTTTCTTCTGCTTGTCTTCAGGTAACTTTTTGCTCCCTCAGTGCAGATAAACTCTTCATAAATAAGGACATCTCTGACCTTCTTGTCAGGGAGATTGGGATCAGGCCAGGAATTCTCTCTTCTTTGGCTTTTCATGCTATTTTCTCTACATTCTACCAAATAGAAGTACTTTTATCACTTGTTAAGAAAAAGTCCGACAATAAACAACACCAAAACAAACTTCCCAACCCAAATCAAACCCACTTCTCATGGAGTGGGTGGAAACATTATTCTTTGTGGTGGAACAGAATTAGTAATACTCAATTTGTCTCTTCTTAGCTTGTGCTTGATGAAGGCAGGGAATATTATGCTGCCTATCCTCTGTTAAATATTAGATGACTTCTTTAACACTTGTAATTCTGGCTGATTTCCACAGGAGATTTAGACGCACCAACTCAAAGTTTTGTTCTCAATGCTCTCCTGGATTTACATGTTTACCAGCAATCTAAGGCAGCACCATGTGTAAAGTTTGTGTTTGTAGAGATCTTTTGAGAAATAAACATAGTCTGTCGATTTCATATGGTGGAGACACAAGGGGGAGGCATAAATGTTAAAAATCCATTCCTACAGAAAGCCTTTCCTCTGGTGAGAAGAGGAGCAGAGCGTGAGGCTTGCAATCTCTCTCGGGTAGTTCAGGGATGTTGCATTAACCTGACAGCTCCACGACCACTCTAACAAGTCCTTGCACCACAGGGATGAGGAAATGAGGAGACTGAGCCTAATCATGCTCCTGTGGCACTTTGGAAACTAAGATACTGTTTCTTTTAGAAATAAAATCTGCACAAGAGAAGGCAGGAGATAGGATGTCCTGGTAAGAGCATTGAGCCAGACTCAGCTGCCATCAACCAGCTCCAGTTCCCCAAAGTGACTTTTATGTTACACATGCCAAGGTTCTGTCCTATAAAAGCATTACAGTTTCAGTAACTTGGGAATGGGTTGTTCATAAAAGCACATTTCCCCTGAAGGTATTTTAGCAGAACACTATCAGTGAAGTAGTTCTGTCAGCTATCAGGACAAAAGGCATATGTGAGGCAGAAGTTCTTTGAGATTATACTGCTTATTCAAAGGCAATGAAGATTAAATTCCACCTTTTTGAATAGAATGCCTGAGGGAATGCTGATAATACACTGGGATAAGTTTAAACTCTTCCTTCTTCCCTGCTGCCCTTACCCCATCCCCTCTTTTGTGTTCATATTTCACTGTCCTACCTAAGTTTCACAACTTCAGTGGTTCCCCTTTTGGTTTATCTTACATTCAGTTGATGGTTTCTGTGGTTTTCCAGTCTTTCAGCTGGATTCAAAATAATGTAAGAGAACATTGAAATATTTGCAGGTCCAGAAAAAAAACCCCAAAAAAGGCCCCCCCCCCCCCCCCCCCGGTATTCTTAATAGTTTGAGAGCTTATATTTAAAAAATACAAAACTACCTGTTAAAATGCTACACCAGCACAGGATCAGCAAAAGCCTTTTTTACCTATTGTATCCTTTTTGTAGACTTTAATATATACTAGGGTAGTATAATCAGTAAAAACGTTTTCCTGTAGCCCTGGAAATGGGTGAGAGACAGAAGAAACAGAAAGCCAATAAAAACATCCTAGTCCTTCAAAGCCTTCCTCCTCTCTCCTTTTTTCCCTTTGAGATGCAAGGAAATATTACATAAAATAATGAATGAGGTCCCCTCTTTTGACTATGCCCATATTTGCCAATCTGTGTGGCAATGAAGGCACAAATAAGTGGGCAGCACAACAGGGTGAATTTAATGGGGTAGAAGGGCCACAGAGCACTATCAGCTACCTGAACAGAGCAGCAACTGTGCCTTCCAGAACCTCCAGCTTGCTTATGAAAACCCCTCTTGTACATTCCCATAAAAGGATCCAGTTTCAACAGCTTGGCCAACTGCAGAGAAATAAGTGTGTGTGTGTGTGTGTGTGTGAGGGGGGTGGTGTCTGAAAATACCTATTTGTCTGTAGCCAACAGCAACAACAGTGGGAGCTGTGGAAGTGCTGTTTGTTACACCTTTGCTAGAAACAGAGCTGGACACAAAGCAGCCTCCAGATAGCTGGGTCTGGTGGGCAGTACCCTGCTGGAATAGTGTTGATAGAGTGTTTTCTGGTGTTACCACATCATGCCCTATCCCTGCGGCCAGTTTGTCATGTGTTGTGGGGACAGGATCCTGTGGTCAGAGCTTGCTGGAGCAGACTTGGCCAGACAGCTGGAAGATAAGCCAGACTCCAGAAGCAAGAGCACAAGGCAGAATGCTGGAGCACACAAGCAATGAAAAGGAGACTTTGGGTGATAAATAAGGCCACTGTAATTGCCAGAAAGTCATGCCAAAATATGGTCACTGGCTTGCTTTCCTGGCTCATCTTCATTGCTGAGGAAGAGCCAGGCATTAGGTTCTTAATCTGTAAGTGGCTGAAGCACCTGACAGCGTCTGTGGAGATCCAGACACGCTCTGCAATGTCCTGGAGAGGCTCCTGTCCCACTGCCTGACCCAGACCTTGGGCCAGTGAGTCAAAGCAGCTGTGCAGAAAGAAGTGTTGTGCTCCAGGATGTGTGGAGAGCCAAAGCTGTCCCTCAGGCACTACAGAAGCTGTTGGACCTGTTAGCATTACTGAGAGCTGAGCAAAATCCCAGTCTCACCATTAATACCAGGTTTTAAGGATGAAAGACACCCTGTTCTACAAAGCAGTCCCTTCCAAGGCTCTCCCAAATGTGAGGTGGGAAACCAGAACACTGCTCACAAATCTGAGTCTCTGTCACAAGAGATATCTCAAAATATACTCACTGAGCAGTGATAACATCTCTATTGAAAGAAATATCTCAGATTTTGAGATATCTCAAAACAGATTTAACAAAAGAGTTCAATCCAGGGAAAACCAAATGTTTCTTTCTTTGCACTTTCTTGCTGCTTATCAAGTTTCCACGGGTCAAAGGACTAAAAAACAAACAGGGGGCAAAGCTAATGTGAGTGCCAGCTTTTCACTGTTCTCCTTCCTTGCCTTGTCTCCTCCTGCCTGCTGGAGAAGACCAGCAGAATGGCTAATCAACTCACCTGTCCTGTTTTGCCTTTTTACTTAATGAGACCTAAACCTTTCAGATAGGAAAAGAAGAGCAAATCAGCTCAGAAGGAGGCACACAGGAGTTTCCCCAGACCAGAGTTACGCTGAGTAATGGCCAAACTCACCAGGTACAAGCATCCCAACCTGCTCTTGTACAGTGCACTAGGTGCTCCTCCATTCACCCTGTTCTTACTGTATAAAAGCTGCATAAACATTGTTTTGAAGCAGCTGAAAAAAGCCAGATGAGGAGCTCTGCCTGAGCCAAGGAGCACTTTGCAGCTGCTTCACTTGGGAAGAGGAGGAAGTGCTCTGTGGGTGGGAAGGGACATTGCTAAGACCTGCTATAGATAACAGGGCTGTACCTCCTAATTTGGGCTGGAGTCAAGCACCACTGAGGAGGGGAGAGAGTTTTAGAGTCTTTTTCTTTACGGCCAAGAGGAGCTTGGATGGAGCAGAGAATTAAAGTTGAAGTGAATTACTTAAACACTGCTGTTTAAATTGTTCTTTCACTGAATCCTACAGCTTCATTCCTATGGTAACAAAACTGAGGATTTCCTAAATAGCTCCTTTTAAAACGACAGTCATAGCAATTAATAAAGACTTAAAGTCCTTGTTCTTCCATGTCACCACAAGACACAGTATGTGCCTAGAAATCTGAAGAGGAGTGAAAATGTATGAACCAGGAGGAGAAAAACAGGCCATGTACTGGATAACACTGCATGGCTGATGCTCTTCCAACTCATAACTCAGTTGACTACGAATGCTCAAAATACCTCTGCTTAGGAGCCTTTATATTTTGGCCAAAAAAGAGACAATGTCCAGCTGCAGCATGTGCTATCCAACATGTCTTTTTGCTGTGGGTGTGCCAGGCTGAGCACTACTGAAGATTTCCCCCAAATAAATTTATCAGCCCTTAAGCAAACCAGTGCCTGTGCAATCAGGCATGTCTTTTTGCTGTGGGTGTGCCAGGCTGAGCACTACTGAAGATGTTCTCCAATAAATGTATCAGCCCCTAAGCAAACCAGTGCCTGTGTAATCAGATATGTGGGATGGAGGGCTGTTGTCCCATTTTGATCCAGCAACAGCTTGGATTCTTCCATTTGGGCAAAAGGGTGACCAGAAAAGTGGTTTCAGTGAGTGTCACCTCACAAAGAGCCTGTGCCCTCACAGAAATTAAGATCTCAGCAACTCCAATCATTTTAGAGTCACAGTTGGGAAACTCCTGAGCAGACCAATATTTCTGTTGGCTTATGGTATTTTCCCATGTCTAAGCCAGGATGGGGGAACATAGCTGGGAGAAAGATAGCTGGTTTTGCAAGTTTCTACAGAAAAATTCAAGTAGCAGCCAAACCAGAGAGTCCTTCAACAAATCTGTGTTTTGTTTTCATTATTTGGGGATATGTCTGAAACACACTACCAGGGATCACTTCCCAATTGCAAGGTCTGGGCATGTGGGAAATAGAACTGCATTCATCGTCACCCCACCCCCCATTCAAAAAACCCTGTGGGTTACTGGGAAAGAAGCCCAAAGTGATTTTTCTACTTCACAAATCCCTGCTCATATATTTTCCCCCACCAGTTGCATTTCAGGGACTTCTGCAGAGGAAACACGAGTTATTAAGGAGTGATTAGTTATCAAGCTCACAGCTCTGCTAGTAAGGCAGGGAAAGCTGCCACAAGATCTTCAAAGTCCAAGCTGTACCAACTGATGTTTGGATTACTGTAATAAGGTGCCTCTGAAATCCAGAAATGTGGGTGGAAAGAGACTGGATTTTCTGTTGTGGGTTTTGTTTTGTTTTTTTTTTTACTTACACTAGTGTAGTAGGTCAATTATCTTTTTTTTTTGCCTTTGTTCTTAGGAATGGAAATGACAACCAGATGC